GCTATTTATATACCACTTTACTGACTGCAGGGAAAATATATAACTTGTTTAAGGGAGATACAATTTTTATGTTAACTTCACTAAAGTGTATATATTTCCATACACTTATATTTAAATAGCATTGTTCTATGAATAATATTGTATTACAATATTCACATTAACTGTGAATTAAGGCTTATTGAGAGATCTTTAGAGAATATATGTTCCTGGAAAATAGAAATTCAGAAGCCTATCCTTTCATATTATATCTGGGGCTTGCCCTAGAGGGCAGGGGCTGGCCATCTCCCAGTAGGTTTACAGGGCGGTGTTTGTTGCTTTGGTGAATTTACCAGAGTCCAGGGTATAGTCTGTGACCTTGAGGGCGTAAAAATCAGATTTTGACAACGCACAAAGCACAGATCCATTTCTACGTAGCCTCACCTATTTCTTTTCATTCACTTAACTCCAGTCTCGTGGTCTTTGTTGTTACTTTCTCCCACATGCCAAGCATGTCCCTCCCTGCCTGAGGACATGCTGCTTTCCAGGTGTTCCCACATGTCAATCTCTCACTGCCTTCTTGTCTCCGCTTGAGGGCAGACTTCCCTGACCACTCTAGAGTAAAACAACTCCTTTCAAGTAATGTAAAGTTGGCAAATAGAGTCAATAAGAATACAGGGTGCCCAGTTAAATTTGCAGATCAGATAAACAAAGATATTTTTAGTATAAGCATATTCCATGTGATATTTGAAACATATTTAATGGAAAAAAATATTCATTACTGAGCTCAACTTTAAATTTAACTGGGAACCCTACTCATAGCTTGTATGCTGTGAAGACAGGTATAATGGTAGCTCAGACTAAAGTAAACAGTAAAGATGGAAGAGCAAGTCAGGAATTGAGATACAAGGACCCGTGATCATGGATTAAAAGTTGGAAAGAGAGAAAGTTGGCTTGCTTAGTTGGGTAAAAGTTTAATTCACTGAAATGAATCCCACTAGAGGAAGAAAAGATTTGGTAAGGAGTAAATTAATGTGGTGAAATAAAGTAGGAGTTAGAAATGTTAAATTTGAGGAAGCATTAAGAAATCAAAATGACCAAATTATTGAAATAGGTAATTAGAAATTCATGTATGGAATACGAAAGAGAGGAGCAGGCTATGAAATTAAGTTTGGAAGTGATTAATATGTATTCAAATTTAAGGGCATGAGAATGGATAAGATTATACAGGAAGTAAGATGAGAAAAGGGGTAAGGACTATGTCCTGAGAAACTGTAATATTTCTCATGTCCATTTTTCCTGCTTTATTTTTTCTATTTCTTCATATCCTCAAGAATAAACATAATAATGATGAAATTATTATTACCTGTAAAATCTGTCTATTTTGGTAGAAATTCAATTTATCGCCCTGTTTTTCCAATATGCATTAAGGAAAATTATTTTCTTTACCTTTAGTGACAAAACTTATGACACAGCATTTGCCTCAAGATTGGAGTTGGAGATCAAGTGCAGCAATTTACCACAAATACAGTACTGGTTAGGTGTTCTACATTCCTTTTAAAGGCTAAAGTAGATTTCCTGTTGGACCAACTGGGGAGCAGACCTTTTCATTTTATAGTTATTAGTTGCCCTCAAACGCCCTGTCCACTTTCTACTTTGATAATACCTCTGATAAAGGACTACAGAGTATCCTAAATTGAGAGGAAAACACTGGCTAACAAGAATAGGCAAAGAAGTCTGGGCCAGAATATAACCAAAATAATAAACAAACAAACAAAAAATGGGCATATAGCTATTTTAACAGAGAGTTCACAAGAAGTTTCACAGAACCTTCACTTCTTAGTAGTTAATTCAAAACTCTTCTAAAGAGAATACCTTGTTAGGAGCTATAATCTTCATTAATAATTGTGAGACTTTCTTCCACCATAAAAATTCAAGAGTTAGAAAAGTGCATTCGTAAGTAGTTAGGATTCTTGCATGGTAACGTATTGATATAAATGATTCTTTTTTGAAAATTCTCTTTATAAGCATACATTATACTCAGTTTAAGAATGCAGTGTGTGTCAATTAGTAAAAGTCAAACTACTTTAAAAGAGTTTATGTGCATATTTGGGGCCTAAGTTTATAATCAGTTCCATCAAGACACTTAACCTGAAGTTTCACCATAAATAAAAGTTATGTAAATGCCATTCATCATCTCTCTTTGACTTTTTTTTTTGCTGCTTTTTGGAACCTTTATTTTCTGTTTCTGTTACTTTTGATGAAAATATAGTGCTTTTGCTTTAGAACATATTAAATAAGTTATAGGAAAAAGAAGAAACTTTCATTTGAAACGTATGTTTCAACCATAAAGAAAAGTTTTCAATAACTGAGTAGATTTTGAGATCATCTATGTGATGTGTACTTTTTAATACAATTCTCTTCCCCACCCTATTTTGACAATTGAACTGAAATGTCCATATTCAAACTGAAGTTCATGGGCGGAATGAAATATGCAATGAGATAATACCTTATCTAGTAATATCAGTATAATAGTAACACTGATGAAAGAATATGAAATAATTGAATTCTTAATAGCTTCAAGATTTCAAAATTCAAGTACTTAATGAAGTTCTTCATATTACTCTTATATTCTATCCCAACCGGGACAATATCTCAAGTAATCATTAAATATACCATACAGTTAAGGTAAAAAAGTTAAGAAGCTCGATTTATCCTTCGTATATTTAAGTTTAACAGTAGACTGTTGACAACTTCACAGACTCCAGAGTTGAAACCCTAGCCTCTCCCTCAGATTTGCTATATTTTATTTTTAGATGTAATCACTTCCCTCCGGTAAATGTTTAGTGACCACACGCACAGGTCTGCACATGAGGAAACTAAAAAGGGAACCTTGCGCTGTGAATCAGATATACAAGACACAAAAAGAATCCCGTCAGCCCGTGCCCAGCGTGTCATATTCTTCAATAATCCTTATGACAGTGCTGTGCTGACATTTTCAATTAATACAAACGATACTTGAAGTGAAGCAATTTCCATGAAACGTTCAGTATGTGATGCTTCACCGGCACCATCTACCAAATGGCTTGATGAAAATCAACCCTAAATTTTTTTCTTGACTAATTCCCTTAATGCTTCATCTTATGGATCTTGTTATAGTTCAGATTAATTAATTCTAGGGAAATCTTTTAGAAGGACTAATCTGGAAAAGCAAATTGAACCAGAATATATGCATTTTGATATTTCTAGTACCTCTGAAATACCAAAGGTACAAAAGCAAAACATTCAGGGGAATCCCAGAATGGGAATATTTGTTACTTGAGATGACTAAATTCTAGAGATTTGCAGTACAACACTGTGCCTATAGTTAACAATACTGCCTAGTACTTCTTTTTTTTTTTTTTTTTTACATTTTAAAAGGATAGGTTTATTAGGAAAAGGAGAAAGGAAAAAAGAGAGACAATGGCATAGTCACATGCGGGCAGGGAGGAAAGCTCTCTCGTACTCTTAAGTTACTGTAAGAAGTACATTTCATGTTAGATGATTTTATCACAATAGTTAAAAAGTTACTAAAGGAAAAAAGTTAAGTAAATTAATGAAAGTAAAGTAAAGGGAGCTTGGTAGTTTAAGAAGCAAGATAAAAAGCTAAAAAAAACCCAGTCAGTTAATTTTCCCAAAGTTGCATATTTCTCCAAGTGTTTTCCTCAGACATCCTGCATTAAGTATACCTGGGAGCTTGTTAAATTATAAATCTCTGAGACCCACCCCATCCTAAACTGGCTGCACAGTGAGAATCTCTGACAATGGGATGTGAAATCCATACTTCAAGTGATTCTTGCTAGCAGTAAAAATTAGAAAACCATTTATGTAGATCCTTCAAATCATGTTATATTAGGAATGCTTATATGCACTGGCAAATGCCTAATATCTATCCTACTCAACCAGAGATTCATTTGCACTTCTAACCAAAGAAAGGTACTACTACATCTGATTAAACTAAAAAATCACATTGCTTACCATGTTAATTAAAAGGAAGAGAAGTAGCAAATAAACTTCCCTGCCCCACATACTTTTTTGCCACTGAAGAAAGTGTTTTCTCCCCAAAATATGACAGCCATTAGATGTCATTTATATAATGGTAGAATATTCAAACTTTTTGAGAGACTAAAGTTTGTTACATCTTTATAAGAAATTGTTCTTATGTTTTGTGTGCTTCAGATTCAAAAATTGCTAACAGATGTGTTTATACCTGTTTAGTAAAATTATTAAAGAAACATGCTAAAGAATAAGCACACTAAAACTCTAGTATAACTTTGTCGAGTATAACTTTATAATAAGAAGTTCATCTCGGTCAGTAACTTACATATAATGTTCAAGAAAAGTCTTACAAATCCTGATTTTTAAAAATCAGGAGTGAGTGTAATCAACTTGCCTTCAAATCTTTTGGAAATTGTTATGAGAAGGTTGATAAATTTCATAAATTAGCAAATAAATATCTATTTAGTTCAAAAGTTCTCTCATGACTTTTATTCACCTCATCTGAGACACCAGAAAATACACTGACATATAATTAAGCTACATTTCTTTCTATGTCTTTTATTCTGTTTTTCACTTTTCCCTAATTAATACAAGATATGTCCCTGGTTAATCCTAATTAGAGATGCATTTCTGTAGTTATAATTTAAATAGCTTGAATAATTTATAATTTAAGGGGGGAGAGAAGAAATATGCAATACACACATAGAGATGCACACAAATATATTTATATCTGTAAACACCAATGAGAGAAAGGAAAGACAATTAGCACTAATGTGAAAGACATATAAAAATGAGGTAATTATAGAGATTCTTAATGTGTGACATGTGGTGGCCATGGGGGAAAACAATTAATTATCATTATTTTGTGCTAATATATTTAAGTGATGTCGTAGTCATCCTTAACAAGATTTATTTTAATTATTAAAACATTAATTTAGAGACTAAAAATAGTATTTTCCAACTGCACATATTGGTGGCCTGTATACCTGGCTGGTCCCTGACCATCATGGAAGTGGAAGCAGGAAGCAGGAGCACTGCCACACAGAGGCAAAGTTCCCAAGACCCAGTGTGTCTCATTGTGCCTGGAAACCATGTGAACAACTGGACACAGATCTGCAACAAAGTAAAATATTCAAATTGAGTTTATTTATACAAAATTCCTTTCATTATCTCCAGAAAATTCCTATCATCAAGTCAAAAAGCAATAGATTTTTAATTTATATGTAATTACATAACTGGATATATGATTATATATGTAGTTACATATCTTTCACTGTAGGTGTTAATGTGTATGAGAGAGCTCTGAAAATATTTTCAGGCTAGTTTCTAGTTAATTCTCATGATCACACAGTCTCTTAGAACTTAAATGTTCTCTTTTAAATGTTTTAAAGTCACTTCACTTACCATTATTTATATTTTTTTAAAAAATGTATGCACGCATAACATAAAATCTAGCATCTTAACCATTTTTTAAGTATTCAGTGACACTAAGTACATTTACATTTTGATGCAGTCATCACCATGATTCTTGCAATACAGTATTTATTCTTTTATAACTTCATTTCACTAAGCACAATGTCTTCAAGATTCATTCATATTGTAGCATATGTAAGAATTTCCTTCGTTTTTACAAATCCAAATAATATTTCAATGTATGTGTAAACCATGTTCTGTTTATCCATTTGGTTGCTCCCACCTTTTATCTGTGGTGAATATTACTGCTATGAGCACAGAGGAACAAATATCTGTTCGTCTGTGCTTTCAATTCTTTTACATAAGCAGAAATGGAATTACCAGATCATATAGTAATTCTGTTTTTAATTTATTGAGGCACCACTGTACTTTGACACCATTTTACATTCCCATCTGACAATGCACAACTGTTCAAGTTTCTCCACCAATAATATTATTCTCTGGCTTATCAGTATTATTATAGTCTGTCTCTTTTATAACAGTCATCTTAATAGGTGTAAGATGGTATTTCATTGTGGTTGTCATTTGCATTTCCCTCATGATTAGTGATGTTAATTAGTGATATTGTTCCATGTGCTTATTAGCCATTTGTGTATTTCCTTTAAAGAAATGTCTCTTCAGATCCTTTGCCTATTATTTAATCTAGTTGCCTGCTTTTTTGTTCTTATTGTGTTTTAGAAGGTTTTATATATGCTATCTATTAATCCCTTATAAGATAAATAATTTGCAAATCTTTTCTTCCAACTTGTAGATTGCTTTTTCATTCTGATTGTGTCTGGCTGCTTAGAAATTTTTTTATTTTTATATAGTTGAATTTATCCCTTCTGGTTTGGCTGCACTTTTGGTGTCATATACAATAATTTATATTCTAAAAATATAATCTTATTATTGAAAATATTACTCTTTTATGAGTATTACTTTTGTATTTTTTAACTGAGACCATTACATTTTCAATATAATTAACTATGTTGTTATTGTATTGAATAATCACTGCTACCATAGTGATTACTACACATAGGTAACCATTTCTTCTATTTAACAAGAAAAATGCATCATATTTAACATTAGTGTGTTACCTTTCTGAATGTAGACTACTCCATATATAATGGCTCCCTCAGTGTATTTGACAATTGCAATATTATTAGAATAGCTACTTTAAAAGTTCTGAAATAAGTAAATAATATATCATTTCTTTTTCATCATTCAAAGTGTACTCAAGAGTCAAATATATAAGAATACATCACATCAATGTTGTAGACAGACATTCTTTAGGAAAAAAAACTAAAGCTACCATCTTTGGTGTTCTACATGTGCCAAATACCCTAAGATCAGCATTTTAAAATTAATTCAAGATTTTAGATATTTATAGATGAATAGCTAGAAGCAGCAATTGCAATATTAAAACCATACGCGTGGTTCTAAATATCAAACAGCTGGTTTTATGCCTTATTTCTTTCTGAAGTCTCTCATCTAGATATAGTCCCAATCCTTAGATGACTTTGCAAACTTATTCTACCTATTATTTCAAGACATGTGTAACTGTTTAAGCAATTAGTTTTATTTCAAATACATGAACTAATGAATATTAATCTAGCTTTCATAGAGATCCTTGATTGCATTTTTAACAAAAGGGGTTTTTACTAGTTGATAAACTAGCAGTGTTCTGTAGTGGTTAAATCTGTGGCTTCATATCTGGGCTCTGCCATTTATGACCACCTTATGTAACTTCATTAGGTCTTCATGTATTCATCTGAAAACTGGGAATAAATTAATATATGCAAAGAGTATATAATACAGAGCACTGAACCCTGTTCAAAAAGTATCTGGTATTATAATTGCACTACGTTGTCATAAATAATAATAGTAAAAATTTGCACTTATTCATATCTTCAGCCTGAGGTTGATAATGATATTTTGATAATGGGGAAGTGCCAAAGAAGAATCCTTTTCCCACTTTCTCCTTTTTGATACCCTCACTCTCACTGGTCTCCTTGCCCACACACTCTGGGATTCCTTCTGAATTCCCTTCTTAGATATTTTTTCGGCCCAACTTCTTAAGATTTAGATCTGTGGGCTCTCCTCACCTCTTTGGAGTGTCCCTCTAGATAATCTTATAATTTTTTTGGCTTTAAATACTCTCTGTCAGATGGTGAATCTAAAATTTACATCTTCAGTACAGCCCTCTGAAATTCAGACTGTATCCAGCTGTCTACCCAATATCCCCCCCTTAGATATAACAGATGTCTATAACAACACGTCTCAATTGAATACTTGAGTCTTGATTCCCACTTGATTTTCTCATGCTCTTTCCAGTCAATAATTAGCACCCACAAAAATACTCAAACCAGAAACCATGCACCATATTGGTTCTGTCTTATTTATTAACATCTCCCACATTCAAACCATCAACAAGACAGCATTCATCATTGTTACCCCCAACACATTTCCAATATCTCCCTTGCTATCTGTTCTTCTGCCCCATCATAGAACTGCTCAGCACATTCCTAACTGACTTCCTGAATCCATTATTGGCTCCTGATAACATTAACTCTCTACATAGTGCCAGAGATCTTTTCCTAAAATGAAAGTTGGAGCACGTCACTTCCCCACTTCAACCCCATCAGTGGGTTCCCATTGTATTTCTAATTTTTTTTTTTTTGTGAAAGAAAGAAAATTTCCCTTTTATTCTTTCTAATCCCCACTGAATTATGGAAAAAATTGTTTTGATTAATAACATTGAGATTGGATTAAGTTGACTTTTCCTCTTCCTTAGCTGCAAAAGTTTATAGTTCTAGCTATTTGTTTTTTGAACCTCTCTTAAACAGCTAGCCACTTGGGCCATTTCTATGGAATCCTGCGTCCTGGATTTGGAGTGGTTCCTTGTATTCTTGTTTTCCCCACCATATTTCTAACGTAGTCCAAATGCCTTTCTATGTGGGTTGTTATCATTCAAGATGGTGGAATAGAAATAACCTGAACTCACCTCCTCTCACAGATACAACAAATCTACAACTACATGTGAAATAACTGACATAGACATTATTTAAAAAAACCTGATTAAATAAAGCTTCCACAATAAAGGATAAAAGGACTCCACTGAGACAAATAGGGGAGACAGTGTTACACCATCACCAAGGAAGAAGCCCCACCTGAGTTGGTAATTTGTGGTCAGGTGTATCTTGAAGGTTTAGAACTTTTGCCTGTGGAAAGGAGGAAGGGCTGAGCATCTTAGAACACTTCAATTCAGGTCTCCCTACAGAGGCAATGAGTACCTGGAGTCATAGCATTGAGGACTGGTGGGAAATATACCCAGGAGAATCAGAGAATTAGAGGAATAGAGAACCCACATTTAAGGTCCTGCACAAAGATTCATTGGGACCCAGCACAGTAACATAGGTCCAAAAGCATCTGAATCATAAGGGAAGGAATCCCACTTATTGCTCCTATAGAAAGTGGCTAAGAGGCAGGAAGCTGTAGGGAAAATCACCAGGTCTGAAACATGGTGAGCATGATCTCGGTAACCTCCCACAACCTTGTTGACCCTAGCTTTATGGGAAGCATAGAGCAAAAACATATAGTAAATTCATAAAGAAAATGAAAAAGGAATACAAACACACTGCTAAAGAAAGCAGCAAGACAAATAGCACATGATTTCACTCATATATGGAAGATAAATAAACAAAGCAATGAGCAAACAAACAAACAAAAATCCTTAGATGCTGACAACAGAATGGTTAACCCAGGGGGAAAGGGGGAATGTTGAGGTGGGGGGAAGGAGTAAAAAGGGTCAATTATATGATGGTGGATGGAAACTAGATTTTCAGTGGGGATCGCAAAGCAGTACATACAGATGCAGAAACATAAAGATGTATACCTGAAATTTATACTAAGTTATAAGCCAGTACTACTTCAGACACCACTTTAAGCCAGACTTATAAGCCAGACACTACTTTTTAAAAAAAAAAAAAAAAAAAGTGGTGGGGGAAATTTTCAGTGCCCTAGAAGTCCTGTATAATCTGGCTAGGACCCACCACTCCAGTCACATTTGATAAACCATTCCCTTCACTCATGTTCTATTCCTCAAATTCCCTGACTTTTCCAACCTTAGACTTTTCATGCTGCTATTTCTTCATCTAGGAGTTTGCTCATCCTGTTCCCCCTACATCATTTCATTTAAATGTCTCCATATAGAAGAGTTTTTATTTCACAAATATGTGCCCAAACCTATTATTGTCCATCTCAGACTATTTTGTCTGAATATATGTTTATTGCCCCCACTCTGGAGGGTAAAGACTACATCTATTTTATTTATCACTATCCTGGATGCCCAACATAGTACCTAGAAAAGTAGAATCAAATATTCATTGAATTAAAAATAGTAAGTGATGGACAGCTTTCAAATCTTGAGACATAATGACAGATAACTTATTGTAGACAATAATTTAATTTTGTCTTCTTTAATTCTTTTGTTCTTACTGTGGTAACACTGGTTGCTTGTATTTTAGAAATATTAAGGCATTTCAGAATCTTGTATTTCAAGGGTCATTATGAGGAACTTCCTTTCTATTTGTACATTTTTAAAATGTGTTTATTACTGAGGTTTCTGTTGTCCTGGTCCTTATTAAATAGGAATGTACTCC